GCCCACAGAACCAGTAGTAAAACATTTTGAATTCCACCACTGGAATCTGCATAATCTCAGAGGAGACTATTTCTCCAACTAGAAGACAAGATAGTTGCACTATTTAAAGAAGGAGATATGGGGAAACCTCCTGTGGTTTCAACATTTTCCACCCTCACAGATTGCAAGTTTGAAAAATCTCTGCATTCTGAAAAATCCTAAGTGTGTTGTTAAGTGGATTGCAGTGTTTCTCAACCTTGGTAAATTCCAGAGGTGTGGACTTCAACTTCCAGAATTCCCCAGCCAGCTATGCTCTGCTAGCTGGGGAATTCTGGGAGTTGAAGTCCTCTAAAAGTTGCCAAAGTTGAGAATCACTGAGATGGAGGATGACCACATTATTACTATACCAAGCACAGTATTTCCTGCAGGTACTTGGAAGGATGTGAATGGCATTACTGGATTCTTTACAAGCAAGTTTCCTGGCCAGGAGGACAAATGCCATGGTCAGATTGGAAGGCAGACGATCAGATAACATTCCAAAGGCATCCTTGAAGCTTATAGGTCATCTGAATGCATCCTAGCAAACCAGACAGGCCTGGTTATTTTGTATGCACACTTCCCAGGCAGGTGATCAACCCCTCACAGGCTTGTGATGCTGCTAGTGGATTATTCCGTCCAATGAGGACGATTGCGTAGTCAGGATTAAACTAGCCAGTGAGGCTGTTCTTATGCTTGTGTTGAACCAGCGCGCCAGTTTCTTTTTCTGAGTTTGCTGATGTGGAAAAGAGATAAGAAGAGGGGTGAGCCCGTTTAAGCCCGTGGGAAGGAAGGCTGGTGCATTTTATCATCCTAATCTGCCCTTTGGTGTGGGAAGGACTCAGGGGTATTTCCAAAGAGGCTCTTGCAGTGTGTCCCCATCCTCACACACACCCTTCGGTGACCTATCTGATTTTCCTCTGGCCAGGCTGCAAAACTTTTGCAACTCTAGAAAGTTTGAAAGTGAACTGTTTCCCCATTCCCTGCTTCTTGAGTCTCAACTGCCTCTCACTACTGAAATCTGGTGTTACTTAAAGCAGCCTGTACCCAGCCTTAATTCTTCTAAGCCGTTTGATAATCCCGGTGGAAAAACATACAAACAACCTCCAGGAAACCAAAGCACGTGATTCCCCAGCTTTCTCAGCCACAGCAATCAGGCTGAAAGATAACTGACTTGTGCCAATCACAAAGCGAGGGAGAAGGGTGACTGGGGATCTAAATCCAGATCTCCCCTCATCCCAGCTCAACCTTTCTAGGTCTGGCAAATCTTCCAGCTCTCTGGACTTCAATTCCCAGAATTCCCCAGCCATCCTGGCCTTTGCTGAGAATTCNACCTAACCCTAACCCTAACCCTAACCCTTAACCTAACCCTAACCCTAACCCTAACCCTAAACCTAACCTTTACCTTTATGTGAATCGGCTTGCTTTAATTTTATTTTAATTTAAATTTTATTTTTTTTTTCGTCGCGCTGCTGATGACGTCAGGTACGCGCTTTCATCGAGCGCGCTTTTGTGTACCGCGGTTTTGACGGGTCACGCATGTATTTGGTATGGCATGTATACACTACTGCATTTTGCTTGTGATTGCTGCCTGAGGTTGTGTAAACGTAGACTGCTAGTACAAGGATGACAATTAATTGATTAAAAATGGAATGCATGTAAATTTGGAGCATAGTGTCTTGTATTATTGTAACCGGAATCAATTGGGACATCTGCCAGCACTGTCAGGAAGAGCCAATATTAAAATATTAAACAAGATTATGTATTCAGAAAGTCCACAGTCGATCTATAATTGTTGCCAAATTACTTAATTTATAAATATTTGAACAAATGGCACAGGGCAACTAAAAATAGGTATCATTGAATAGCAATAATAACCATTGGTATTCAATTGTTGCAATTAAAGATTTGCAGGCCAACACACTGAAAGTTATCAGAGGAATCTTCTGCTAACACATCTTTATAACAGAAAACCATTGGCATATAATATACTCCTGCAGGCAATTCATTAGAGTAACTGCAAAAGTGTGGAAAAACAGAGAAAGGTCAGAGAATGATAATGGCTTATGACAGAAGTGAACAGCTTTTTATTCTAATAGAGCTTAGATAGAGTTCACATATAGATGAAAAAATAAGAAGACTGCTTAAATCTATGCAAAACTTTCCACCAGGCAGATGAAATAGGAGGCTTAAAGAGAGAGCATGAAGGCTTCTTGCTACAGTTAGGGAAGGCCAAAGATTTTAACAATGTACTATTATTACTTCTGCAATTTAGCAAAGGAATAAAAAAAAGAGAGAGTTTGGTTTCCTGGAGGGAATAAAAGCAGGAAGAGAGAGTATCTTTTCTTGCCCAGTTGAAATGTATTGATTTATACTTCTGGCTTGGGTGGGACAGAAGTTGATTTAGTTTCTCTTGGTTAAAGAGGGAGATAGACAAAAATACTGTCGAAAGGGAAGTTATTCATTTCAGCAGGAATTCTTCTTCTCTAGTAAATGAAAAGAAAGCAAAGACAAGATAAAGAAGAAGAAGGAAGAAGAAGGAAGCAGGAAGAAGGAAGAAGGAAGAAGGAAGAAGGAAGAAGGAAGAAGGAAGAAGGAAGAAGGAAGAAGGAAGAAGAAGAGGAGGAGGAGGAGAAGGAGGAGGAGGAGGAGGAGAAGGAGGAGAAGAAGAAGAAGGAGAAGGAGAAGGAGAAGGAGAAGGAGAAGGAGAAGGAGAAGGAGAA